TTAGTTTCTTTTTTTCATCAATATTTATTTTGTGTTTTTTTTTTTTTTGGTCTTTTTTTTTTTTTTTTTTTCTGCATTTCTAATGATTTTTTCTACTTTTTAGCTGTAGTTATTCTAATTATCTTCTGTTACTTTGTGGTATTGATATAATCTTCTTGTTTTCTTTTGTTCTTTCTTACTTCTCTGCTTATTTTTCTCTAAAATCTCTATACTATCTAGTTGTATTCAAACTATTTTGTGATTACTATTTGTTTTAGTCTCTATTTGTTCTATATTACTATCTAAAATAAAGCTTCTTATATCTTGTATTATTCAGATATGATTTATTTTAGTTGATATATTTCTATTTGACTATGAGTACTTGATTAGCTCAAGATTACAAAATCAGAAGGTTTCTATATAGTCAGTATTTTTACTTATAACAATTCAAATTTTTCTGTAATTTCTTTTAGATATATATTTTTTTTCAATTAACTATTTTAATAATCTTTCTCTATAGTTTATATAGTGTATAATACTTAAAGACTATATTTGTTCCATTTTGACCTTCAAATTAAAGTTCATCAAAAAGTCAATTTATGTATATTTTTCAAATATTGTAGTACGAGTTGTTATATGATTGAGTCAATCATATATCTTGAAATAATATATATCTTAATCAAAAATCATATTCTTAACAAAAATACTGTATTATTATATTTATGCAAATTTGGCTATACATTATTATATTTAGTGTTAGTTACTAGTAATTAGAATTAGAATATTTGTATATTACTATACATAAATATTTTGTTAAGTATTTATTAACACATTGCCTTTTTAATTGCTTCTTAGTGGGCTTTGAGTAGCAAAACTTCATCATTTAGATTAGCAATTTTTTTGCTTCCAAATCAGCAAAATAGTAGCAGAAACCTTATGTCTCCTAATAAAAGTCAAGTAATAGTGAACATATAATTATAAAAATTATGTATTGCTAAATCGATAGTTACTTAAATTGCTTATACTACACTTGTTCAAAACTGTAAACAAATTTGCCTACAAAAAAATTAAGAATACGTAATTATTGAGGCTTTCTTATTTCTTTATTTAAGAAATTCTGCTATGCAATATTAATAACTTGTAAAAAAAAACAATTTAAAAAAATTTTTTAAAAAAAACTTAAAATTTAAGTTTTTTTTTTTTAAAAAAAAAAAACAAAAAAAAAAGTTAAAATTTTTTTAAAATTTAAAATCTATTTATTTAGAAGATATATTAAACTAATTAGAAATTAAAGCAGATCACGTTAAGATAAATTAGAATAAAGCTGTTCTAACCCTAGTTTATTATCAAAAAAATATATATTGTTAATATGTGTTAACTACTAAATAGTTATTCTATTATATTATTTTTCTCTAATAACATTCTTCTAATTATGATCTTTACTATCTATTGCTCTTTATAATTCTCTTGCATGAACTAAGCTAACCCATTCTTAGGTATTTGTTTGTATGATTTGAATTTCTTGTAAATATATTCTGCTAGTTTTCCTGTTAATCCCTCTTAATATAATTCTATATATCTCTACAATTTTTGCGCAAATCTCCTAATTTTAATAATATTGACTGAATCAAGTGCTTGTAGAACAGTTTCTTGCAAACTAGCTTAAGTGTAATCACAATACTTTCTTGTATAGTTCCTAGCAGCCTCCTAATATATTTTGATAAAGTTAAGTTCACAATAGAACTTCGAATAGAAAATACAAATATAGCTAGCACTCTCTATCAGTTCTATGATAGCTGACTTTTGTGTAATAAAGTCAGGTTAAAACACTATTATCTTTCTTATATAACAGCCTACTCATGAATTATTATCAAAAAACTCCTTATCCTTACATGTTTTACATTCTAAAAGCAACTCATCTTTCTAAAAGCCTCTTTCTTTTAATACTACTTTAATATCTTTTGGCTTTCCTCGTATAGTTTCATTATAATTCTCATTCTCCTCGAATATATAGTTATTATCAAATACCATATATTGAGTGTTCAACTATTCATCAGCTTTTACAAAAGTTGTTGATCGCATTATTAGTTGGTTTCTATTGGGTTTTAGGTTCATTGTAGTAGTGTTAAGAGCATCTTCTGCATATGCCTTATGGTTTGTGCTATTGTCGAAAGCAAATATAGCTATTATATTTAGAAATTTTGTCTCAAAAATAAGAATTGCTTTATCTCTAATTTGCACTAGTAAATTATTAACTGTTCAAAACCCTTCATAATTCTTTTTAGATATTAGATAGCAACGTACCTCTGTAGAAATATTTAGATATATCCTTATCTCTTCTTCATTTAGTTTCAACTGATTACATTTTTCTAAAAGAAATTCATTCACTATAATCGATCTTCTATTTCCTTTCTTTTGCAATAACATATATACATCTAGTATTCAAATGCCTCTTTTTCCATCATTCAAGTAAAAAATATATTCATCATGCATTATAAGGATTAATTCTTGTTCACAAGCCTTAAGTACTAGTAGAATTTTTTCTATTGTTTCTCCTTTATACCTAAAAGTGATAAAGTTTTGTTTTAAATCGCTTTGAAATTTACTTCAAATTATTATATATGAAATCTTTGCTAACAAAGTGATCTATTAAGACTATGATTTACATAGTCTCGATAGGTCCCTTTGTTAGTAAAAATTCTATATCATTTAGATTCATATATCACTATTCAATGTTCTAAGTCTTTCATTTCCTCCAAAAACTTTTTTCGATATACAACTATATCATCTTGCTCATGTTCATCAACATACATTCCTTTTTCGTATAGTCTAAATTAGAATTCCAAGATATTTAGCTACCTTTCAGCTATTCGCAAGCTGATTATTTTTTTTTTGTTCCTCCTATATACTTTAGAAGAATAATATCATTGATGTATCTATGAAACTTAGATGAATCAATACTATTTATACCTGAATTTTGTCATATCCAACATTTATATTGCATTGCAATATCTTCATCATCGACAAGTCATTTGTGCTTCTAGTGCTTTTCACAGTATAACAATAGAAATAATCTATTATGCAAATAATATTTGGCTAAGGAATGAATCTTTCTAGCAATATATGATTTTGGTATCATATAGGTTTTATACGCAATCTTCTAGCTTGCATTCTCCTTTTTATACTCATCTTCTAATAATGCAAAATATTTATAAATTGCCCAATGCTCATTATACTCAAAGACTATGATTATATACCTATTTTGTATCAAATATTCCTGAAGTTAGTTAATTTTTTCAAACACTGTAACTGATAAAACTTCATTTACTGAAGGCACTATTTCTTCAAATATTATAACAGATGATACATCATCCATTAAAGGTGCTATAAGATTACTTAAGAATAAATAAATTAATAAATTAGAATCTTATATACTCATTTCAAATTGTATTGCTTGTTCAAAATCACAGTTTTTTTTTTTTATTAACACTAATAAAGCCTTATATAATAATATATCAGATACTTTGAACAAATAATAAAATTATGAAATTAATCATAAATAATAAAACTCTAACTAACTAACTTTAGATTTTTAAAAAAACTCATAATTTTACAAGTTCTTTTAGTAGTATTAGTCAGAGTACTGGAAGAGCCAAACTTGTGATAATAAGTTGTTTTTAGCAATTCTTTAATTATTCATAGTTTATTTTCTTCATTTTTTCATATGAGAAATATGGTAAGTAACTGTTCAAATATTCTTTTATTTTTGTAGTTGACTGCTTTCTTATCTTCCTCTTCCCTATTGAGCTCACTATTTTCTCTTACATCCTGAACTTCAACATATACTTCTTCTCTAATTTCCTCTTCAACCTCTTCTTTCTTATGTCTTTTCTCAGCTAACTTCTTTTTTTGCATATTGTATTCCTTAAGTTTATTATTTGTTTTTTTTCTTTTCT